TGAGAGATTTTATTGCCAGCAGACCTGTACTACAAGACAAGCTAAAAGAAGTTTTTCAAGTTATAAAGAAACTAAAAAAGGATACCAGATGGAAACTTCTATCTTTAGAAAGAAATGAAGAGCATTAGAAAGAATAAGCATGTGAGCAAACAGAAATGTTATTTTGCTTTTTTTCTCATTGAAAAAAAATTTGTGACTTTTCAAAGCAATATATATACATGTTTTTATATATTAATTAATTATATTGGGGTTTATAACATATGGAGAAGTAAAATGTCTAACAATGGTAGCACAAAGAATAGGATAGGGTGTAAATGGAATTATATTGTTGTAAAGCTCTTATCTTACACATAAAGTACTGTAACATTAATGAAGGTGGACTGGCAAGTTAAGGATACCCATTGTAACCCTTATAGCAACAATGACAAAAGTAACACAAAAATATGTAGCCAATAGACAATAAAAGAGATATAATGAAATAATGAAAATCACCTAATGAACCCACAAGAAGACAACAAAGGAGGAACAAAGGAGTCACAAACATAAGGGACAAATAGAAAACAAATAGATGGCAGACATAAACCTGATTGTGTGAATAACTGCAATAAATGAAAATGAACTAAACTCTTTACATAAAAGGCAGAGATTTTCATTTAAAAGGCCATAAAGAAGGGACACAGATGCTCATGCCTTGGGATGCTCACCTTTATGCTGGTCCCAAGACATGAATGTTAAATATGAAGGTCTGTAGAAGATTGAAAGAACAGGAAAAGACACACTATACGAATGGTAAGAGCTTAAAAATTGATGTGACTATGTTAATATCAAACAAAAAAGAATTTCAGACAGGAGCATAGCCAGATAGGAAGAGGATCATTTCTTAATTTAGCAATCCTAAGTGTGTATGAAAATATATGATAATTTTAACATATAGCAAGCAAAAATGAACAGAACTAAAGGTATTCAAAGCAAATCCACAGTCATAAAGATTTTTTTAAGGTATATTTTTCCTTTAATGTTAAGTTCATAATGACGGAAAATATAAGTTCATAATAACTGAATAGAAACAAGCATATATAGAGGTGTGTGTGTGTGTGTCTTCTTCCTTTTTTTAAATTTAATTTACTTATTTATTATTTAATTGTATTTATTTATTTATTTATACAGCAGGTTCTTATTAGTCATCCATTTTATACACATCAGTGTATACATGTCAATTCCAATCTCCCAATTCATCACATCACCATAAATATCTTAATACCTCTCAGCAAATGATAGAAAATGTAAACCAAAAGTCACTAAGAATATGGAAGATATGAATAATATTATCAACCAACTTGACATAAGTGACATTTGTAGAACACTACACCTAATAACTTCAGAATACACAATGTTTTCCATAGCTCTAGGAATATTGACCAAGACAGATCACATACTGGGTCATGAAACAAGTCCCAGTACATTTCAAAAGACTGACATCCTAAGTATTATGTTTTCTCTACTAGTTAAATTATAATAAATTCAATTTCAGTAATAATAAAATATCTAGAAAATTTCCAAATATTTGGCAAATTTATGGCAGAGTTTAAACAAGAAATAGATCAAAGGAAAACTAATCTCCAAAAAAATTAGAAAATATTTTGAAATAATGGTGAAACAACAACATATAAACATATATAGGATGTAGATATAGTGTTCCTTAAAGTAAAATTAGTAGCTTTAAATGGTTATATTTTAATAGAATAATATAAAATTAATTATCTAAGCTTCCAATGCAAAAACAGTAGGAAAAAAATGGAACATGAAATACCCAATGAAACAGAAAATAAACTACAGAACACATCAATGGAGCCCAACATTTTTTTTAAAAAAAAGATTAATAAAATTTCAAGAAAAATAGAAAGAAAACACAAGCTGTAAGGATGAGATTGGAAAGACAACTACAGATTGAATTGTTCAGGCATTAATAGGATAACAAAGGCATAGTATGAACAACATTATGCCAAAATCTGACAACTTAAATAAAATGACCAAATTTCTTGAAAATATCTTACTGAAGTGGCACAAACTAGAATATCTGAATTGTGATATATTTATTTTAAAAATTGAATTTATAATTGAAATTCTATTCACAAGTGTTGGGTTTGCAACCTCAGGAGCTTCCCAGGTGAGATCCGAAACTGGTCAGGGAGAGAATGAAGAAAAAGGCAGTCTCCAGATGGGCACGTGGGAGGTTTAACAAGCAGGGAACTTACTTGAGGTTTGTCTTGGGCACCTCAACATGAGTAGATCTCAGCACCTGCCTGCCAGAATCTTAAAGTTTAAGATTTTAAACCCAGGAGGCCTTACCTGGGTTCAGTCACATTACCATCCAAGTGGTCTCAACAACACTCTCTCTACTCCTCAGGCAGCTTTTATCCTGGGGAAGGCAAGTAGGTCGCACCTTCCAAGTATGGGGAGGGGTGAGGAGCCTCCAGTTGCCTGGGTCCAGCTCAAGGGTCAACCAGCAGCCACGTCCTCTTGATGACCACCTCCAAAAACAAGGAAGCCCCCAAGTACAGATGGTTTCACTGGTGTGTTCTAGCAAACATTTAATGAAGAAATAATATGAATCTTAAACTCTTTCAGAAAAGAGAGGATGAGAAAATGCTTCCCAAATTCTTCTGTGAAGCCAGCATTAACTAACAACAAAATATGACAGAGCTCTTACAAGAAAAATATATATAGGCCAATATTTCTGTTGAACATGAACATAAAAGTCATCATTAAATATGAGAAAATTGAATCCAGCATTGTGACCTAGTTGGGTTTCTCCCAGAAATGCAATATTTGTCCAACCTTCAAAAATCAAGCAGTATAATTCACACATTAAGAGAAGATCATATGATCAGGTTAACAGATGCAGAAAATAGAAAAAATTCAACACTTGTCATAAAAACAATCAGCAAAGAAAAAAATAGGAAGAAATTTCTTCAATCTAATAAAGGTAATACACAAATAAACCTACAACCAACACTATATTTAATCATGTAATTTGAATGCTTTCCATGTGGGATAGGAGACAAGGCTCTGAATCTTTTTTTCCACATTTTGTTGGTGGTCCCTAAAGAATACAGTGGAGCATTAAAAAAAAAATAAAACATAATAAAGATTGAAAAATAATTAAAACTGTCTTTGTTTGAAGCCCATATAAATTTTTGCTTAGAAAATTCTGAGGAATATACAAAATAATTATTAGAATTAATAAGTGAATTTACCCAGATCAGTATGTAAAAACCAATTACATTACTATATACTAGCAATAAAAAATTGGAAAATAAAATTTTAAAGTATCATTTACAATAGCATCTAAAAACAGAAAATATTCTTTCTAGTAAATTTAAGAAAGTATGCATAGGATTTTTACATTAAAAATTCCACAGAGAAAATTAGAGCTAAACATATACAGAGATATACTATGTTCATGGATTGGAAGACTCAATGTTACTAAGTTGTCAGTTTTCCCCAAATGAATCTATAGACTCAACGCCATCCCAGCAAGCATTTCTGTAGAAATTGACATACTGGTTCAGCTACTCACATGGAAACCCAAAAGACTTATTAAAGCTAGTAAAAGTTGTAAAAGGTTGGAAGGACTTACATTAATTGATTTCAAGGCTTACTATAAAGCTATTTAAATAGGGCAGGATAGCTGTTGCCATAATGACGTTTGTATAAATCCATGCAACACAAGAGATCCAAAAACTACACATGGTGGTTGATAGAATTTTGACAATTCTGAAAGAAAAGTTATCTTAACAGTGATGCTGGAAAAACTAGATATCTATGTGAAAAGTAAAGAAATAAATCTTGACCTCTAACCTTGGATAAACCACAAAATTATCTTGACCTAAACATAAAAGCTAAAGCTATAAAGTATCCAGAAGAAAACAGGGAAGAAACTGTGCTCAGCCTTCGATTAGGCAAAGATATCTTACAAAGCACATACACACACACAAAAAAAGAGTACTAATGAATAAAACACAACTTTGATAGGCTATTTATGAAAATTAAAAATTACTGCTCTTCAGGAGACAGTTCAAAAAATGAGACTATGAACTTTTAAAACTTTATTTTCATTTCATTGTTAAAAATTGAAAATGCAACCTTTTAAAAGTTTTTTTAAAACAATGAAAATGGGAGAAAACATTCATAATACTTATAGGAATTCTATTGAAAATGTATAAACTCCAGAAATTCAATAAGAGATAGACAACCAATTTTAAAAAGGGCAATTTCAGACAGTTTTCAAAACGTAAGGTACGCCAAAGCCCAAAAAAGCACATGAAAAAGTATCCAACTTAGTTAATAGTAGTTAACATTGCAAATGAAAATGAAAACCACACTGAGATTCCACCTCACCCACTAGAGAGGCTAAAATTTTAAAAATTTGATCAAACTTGGTGATGAGTATGTGGGACAGTGGGAACACTCATACTGCTGGTAGAAATGTACAATATTTACAACTATTTGGGAAAGTAATTTGGTAATTTCTTTTTCTTTTTTATTCTTTTGTTTTCTGGCCACGTTGTGCAGCATGCGGGATCTTAGTTCCCAGACCAGGGATCGAAGCTGCGCCGCCTGCAATGGAAGTGTGGAGTCTTAACCACTGGACTGCAAGGGAAGTCCCCTGGTAATTACTTATAAAGTTATGTACACACTTATCACAGACACAGCAATTCTACTTGGAAAAATATGGAAACGTGTATCCACAAAAAGACTTGTATAAAAATGCTCATGTCAGCTTTTATTCTAAAACCCAGCAACAGCCTAAATGCCCATTTGCAGGCAAGCAAAAAGACAAGCTATAGCAGAACCATACAAAGCAACATGAGTCAGCAATGAGAATGCGCAACCTCCTGGTCCCCATAACATATACAGGAATCACAGACATATTGAAAGAAGCCAAGCACAGAAGGCTCTAAGGTGCTGCATGATTCCAGGTAAAGGAAGTCCTTAACCAGCAAAATGAAAGAAGTTTTTGGGGACTGGGGAGTGAGGGGTGGAGTTGGTAGTCAGATAAGGGATTGACTGAAGGTGTTAGTAGGGCACTTTCTGAGGTGTAACTATGTGCATCTTGATTGGTGTGTGGTGACACATTGGTATACACATTGGTCAAAATGTAGCACAGTATTCAAAGTCTATGCAAGTTACTGTTTGTAAGTTCTTCCTCAATAAAGTTGGTGAGAAATGTAATAGTCCTGACCTAGATCCCCAGGTGACCGCCTCACGGAAGACGGTGACATGATTCAATTCCCACAACCCAGTTACGATCATGAGTACGCTGACAACACACTTGGTACAATTTTAATACTCACAGACTCAATAAGAAATAGCATGAATGAACTTATTATCAAAACAAAAATAGACTCACAGACATAGGAAAAAAAACTTATGGTTACCAGAGGGGAAAGTGGGGAGGAAGGGATAAATTAGGAGATTGGGATTAATGTACACATTCTATTATATATAAAATAGATAAGCACAAGGACCTACTGAATAGCACAGGGAACTATACTCAATATTCTGTATATATGCATATATATATGAAACTGAATCACTTTGCTGTACACCTGACGCTAACACAACATTGTAAATTAACTAGACTTCAACTGAAAAAATGGTTATTGAAAAGAAAGAATCAGCAGTGGGACTTCATAAATAAATACTGTAGTTGTGATAAGTAGAGGCTAATGACCTTAGAGGAAGCCACGCTCATTGAAGTAATTTGAATACAGGAAAATGCTGGAGGATCCAGACCCCACCAGGCATGAACCCACTCACCATGCTGAGCTCAGAACCTACGTAAATGAGAACACAGCCGCCAACACTGCCCACAGATCTTCAGGGGTGGTCCTCCTCTGTCTCCTCAAGCTAATATGGGTCATTGCAGTTCTATTGGCTTCGTAGTTTATTTTTTATCTGATCTGTAAATTTACTTTTATAGGTGCTTAAAAACTAAATGCCTAAGAGTTTGTAGTGTTTAATATTCACATACGTTTAAGTAAAATTACAATAAAAAGAATTGAAGTAAACATTGGAGGTCTGTGAGAATATTTCTCCTTTTAAAGGGATCAATACATTATTCAAGGCTGGGAGCTGCTGAGTATTTCTAAATGGTGTTATAATTGGAAGAGACCCAGAAAACTTGATTGAATGCTGGGGCTGCCAGAAAAAAAATGTAGCAGCCCTGGCAATGGTGACTCTTTGTACAATTCAGAAACAGCTCTGCCTCTGAGCACACAGAGGCGGATTTGCTGGGGTGGCATGAAAGGAATTCTTGTGTAGAAAAAGCAGTGGCTTCGTTTCTAAGTGAGAGGGCACTTTTGCGAATGCTGACAAAAGGACTAAAACCATTGACAGTCTAACCATTATGGTGGGATTTTGGTGTCTACAGATATATTGGGCACCGCTATTTGAATTATGATATCGTTGAATTCCATCAATGAACCATTATATTTGCCAGGGCTTTTGAGTTTGCAAGGGATAGAAAACTCCAATTCAAATAGACTTGGGCAAAAAAGATATGCCTTGGCTTTGACCACTGAAGACACCAGTCTCCTTTGAGGCTGTGAGGATCTCACATAATATTTTCAGGACTAAATTTGTCATCTGTTTTTGCTTCGACTTTCTTCGAGGCTGTCTCCATTTCAGGTAGAGTCTACAACCAGTGATGCCCCTGGTAGGTCCAGCCTTAATTTTTACGAGATTCAAGTCAATGAGAAAGAGAAAAAAACTTCAATTCTCAGACGATTCAAGCAAAAGTGATAGACCTGACTCTCACAGCCTCAGCAGGACCATGCGACCATCCCTGATGCAACCGTGGCCGAGGGACTGTGACCCCGGCCAGACCTGGTCCCTTGCCCCATCTGACAGCTCTGTCTGAGAAGCAGGTGGTTGAGGATGGAGATGGGCTTGGTTCTCTAGAGGAAAACGCTCAATGTTTGTTATCAGAAGAAAGAGAACGGATATTGGATGGCAAACATCCAGTAAAATCAGTGTAAGCATAAATAAGTAAACCTCTAATGAATGAAATAGTAACAATATATTTGGGGCACAAGGGAGAAATATGATTTGAACGCAGCGTAGAAGGTGGGTTTAGAATTGTCTGAAAAAATTTATTCCAAGAACACTAATTAGTGAATTGGTTTCCACCTGGAAGCAAAACAGCAGTGGTACCCTGAGAAGACCCACTCTTGGCCACAGAAACACGAAGCTGTGCTCATCACATCTCCGGACAAAATAAACTCGGCTGTTGAGTTAATTTATGGGAAGATAGAACGAGGATCACAAGAATAATGGACCAAATGGAATAACTTGATGTAAAGAATAAAATGAAATTGATGATTGTGTACAGAGGACCAGCTCCACAAGTATATGATGGAGAACCCTTGCCAGTGGAGACCCGAGTAACTCTTCACTGACCAGTGGTGGTGACCAGGTTTTGAATCCCTCAACCCTCACTCAGTTCCTCAAAGGATTTCTTTCTTGAATCTTGCAAGAAAGTGAGGGACAACAGGATGAAGAGGGTACGGGCAGAGCAGTGGACGAGACTTCTTGGCTCAAGATTACAGAGAAGCTTCACGCTTCCTTATGCCTGGTGCTGGAAGAAAGGAGTTTCTCTCGAGAGCTAGAGATAAAACCTAACTTGCATATTTTTGAGCGAGCAGAAGAGGGGTAAGAGTGAAGAGAGCCTGGCAGAGGGCGGAAGGAAGCCGAGAGACCCCCGAGTGCACCTGTAGGACTTCAGTGCGTGACCAAGCACAGTATGGAGGTCGGGGAGTAGCTGGAGATGCAAGCAAGGTGAGATCCTCAAAGATCACACTGTCTGCATTCTTCCCTAATTCATCTGATAAACATTTGTCATGGTCCAGCTACATACGGCACAGGCCACAGGGGCTAGGGATACAGGAGTGACTTACGGTAAGGGGGTTGGGGCACAGAAGGTGAGAGGGCTCATTAAGCAAGTATATGCAACACGGTCTTACAGATGCTTAGTAGTGTGGATTTGAAAATAAAAGGCTGTTGGCTGTGTGGGCAGTTTGATGGTGTCAGCCTTGTTCTGCTTTGTAGGTCCAAATCACCACCCCCACACAGGGAGGACCATAGACGTGGACTCCACGGAAGGCTTTGTGTGCAGCAGGAACGGGAGGAATGGTTAACCTGAGATACGTGATGAATGACATTGACTGACATCCTGTCCATCACATGCTTCCCACACTCTCCCTTGGTCCTTGATTTCTCCTGGTTTATGCACAAACCACTGACCATTTCCTTCCAGCTGTATCTCAGATTTATGACGCAGACACCGTGCCCCTAAGTTCTGGATGTCTGGATGGTCCCACGTTCGGGGTCTATGCAGAAGTAGCTTGCGGCAAGGAAGCACTTCTCATGATCGTTGTGAGGCACATGCTTAATGTCAGAAGCCCCGGGCCTGAGCCCAAGCAGTGTCCCGGACCAGGTTCCCCTTCCTCTGGTGCTGGCATTGCTCCAGGAGCTGGTGACATCTGGAGAGCCTTGAGATCCCCCAGAGAACTTCAAAGTGCCCTCGGCATACCATGGAAGGTTCAAGAGGCCAGTCAGTTTGGGGCCTGGGGGAGAAGCCATCCCAGGAAGATACATTGCCTGACTCTCCAGCAGACATGTGTGCCACCCACGTGTGCTGTGGGTCCTCCTGGAAATATGCTCTGCCCCGTACTCTGCCTCCTGCTGTGCGGTGCCACGGCCCACTTTGGGGGGCCTGGGAGCAGAGTACAAACAAAGCTAGGTCTCTGGTTGTGCCACTGCCCAGTCTGGTCCATGACTCCTGGGAAGACCAGGAGCCAGAAATGCGGTCCTTAGAAAACACATCCCCTCTCAGAAGTGCTCCAGAGTGGAACCCAGCCTCCCTTTATCAACCAAGGAAAACCCTGCCTGGGGTCAGCATGTCACCCAGCACTTGCCAGGCTGCCTCCTTTGGAGCTGTCCAAAAGGAGGAGGAAAACAGCCTAAATGGTGTCACCCAAGGCTTTTCTGCCTCACTCGATGCACACAGACCCCCGCCTCCGAGGGCACGGCATGTGCCAGCAGAAGCCCACAGCCTTGTGCTATCCTCCTTAGGCCAATCCATGCTGAGGGGCCCGGGTTCCATTAGGACTGTTTTGGAAACTTCTGTATTGGTCCACGTGTATGTGGTCTGGGGGTCTGGGATGTTAATGCAGTGCAGGCCGTTACAGTATATTCGAAATGGATCCCTGGCCACCTCCTTTCAAGAAACATGCTTTTGCCACTGATTTTAGAAGAATTATCTGTGAGTCATCCATTCGAATATCTGAACAGATGCTGCTGACTTTGGGCAGAACAGCAGGAGGGATGAGTCCCTGAGGTGTGGTGTAATCAGGCAGCCCGTGCAGAGGGCCAGCCCGGGAGCAGAAACTCTCCACCCCAGCCGTGGATCAAAGGCTGATCGGTATGGAGCTGTTGCCTCTGCTGACCAGTAGCCCGATCCAGAGCTGAGCTTTAGTAGCCAGCTTGCTCTGTGCACATCACAAAAAGCCACCTGAGCGCCTCAGGTGGCTTCTCTCACTCATTACGTTGAGTTAGTGGTCTGCCTTCTGCCTGACCACAAAAATCCTGCTGACCCTGATTTCAGGTGCGAGTGGCTTTTATTCCCTCTAACCTGTAGACTTTACAGCTTTTCCTTTTCTCTGGCCCAAGTCCAGAATTCAAGGTAAATGTGGCTTTGCAAAGGTGTGAAATAAATAAAAGCAACCCTTAGGCATTGGGCCTGGGGAATCAGGGAACAGCTGGATTTCGTGAGAGGCTGGAGGCTTTGCATTTTCTGCCCGGTCTTTACCTGGAACAGGAGTTTCCAGAAGGCTCTCCTTCCCACAGAAGCCACTCTGCATCCCCTCCCTGTAAGGCTGGCAGCGCTGGCAGCACCCTCCCCGTCCACGGCCAGCCCTGGAGAAGTTCTTCCTGCAGCCACAAGCAGCTCTTTACTCATGGAGAAAATGCACAGGGTGCTTGGCCCCTAGCATCTGCTTTCCAGTCTCCACCAGGCCCTCTGTTTCGCAGCTGTTTTTTTTTCTTTTTCATCCTCCTAACCTCATCCCATATTTTATCCCACAGTCTCTTTTCTACTCTCAAGCCACAAACACCACCTCTGCCCCTTCGATTCCCACAGACAACCCTGTCTCATCCCCCCGGGGGCAGGGGGCAGACCCAAGTTTCCTGACATCTCCTCCCACTTCATCCTCTGATGTGCCTCCCTTCCCAGGGCACCCGGTCTGACTTTTTCCTCCAAGGAGTTACCTTCCCTCAGTATTGCAGGTATCACTCTGTCCCTGATTCCTCGGCGGACAGAGACTGAGCCCCAGAGTAGGTTGGTCTGGTCTAAACATGTGACCACAAGGACGTCCCCGGAACTGACAGCTCTGGTCGTTCCCATCCCCTCTGCCTCTCTGTGCTCTCAAAAGAGCAGGGCCCAGAATGTGAAGTCATCACGTACAGTAAGTCAGGGACCGTGTGCCACCGAGGCAGGGAGCTGTGGCACTGGACCAGAAGCCCTGGAGTTAGAGTGAGGTTCCAGGGTCACCTGGCTCCTGCCCCGTGAGCTGGGACCTCAGCCAACTCACAACTTCCTTGAGGTGTGGTTCCCCACTGGCAAAATGGCAAACAATAATGGTGTCCCCAAGACCAGGTGTGCTGTGTGAAATAAGTGAGATGCTATGAATGGGCCCAGGACTGTGTGAGGCATAAGCACTGTTCTCCCACTTTTCCCTCCCTCCTCATTTGCCTCCTGGGCTGTAAGCACAGGAAGATGAATCAAGCACAGCTCCAGCCCCTTGTTTAATAAGCCACTGTTTCAGAGGTGGGTGCAGACTCCAAGGAGCTAAGACACGGTCCGAGGCTACAAGACCTGAAACAGAGACAGAAACAAGCCTTGGTGAAGAGGAGGGTAAATGAGTTATGCCTCAGGGCACCGAAAAGGTGATGAGGAGGCAACTCTGAACTTGGCCTGGAACCCACCTGCCCTGCCTGCTGGGCCTGGGGCTGAGCACAGACTTGCAGACTCAGGGCTTCTGCTGGTTGGTTTAAGACTAATAAAGCAGATTAAAACAGAGCTGGGGGCAGAAACATGCCATAGTCCCAGAGCACTTTGGGGTTCCTACCCACTCAGAGATTTTTTTCTTCTTCCTTTTAAAGATGAGAAAATGGGGACCCTGAGACAGCAGTTGACTTGTCCGAGGTCACAAAACTGGCCCCTAGTGGAGCCCAGTGAGACCCATGTCATCTTACTCCGTGACCAGAGATCTTTCTGCTGCCACCTCTTACTCTGCAGCCTGAGAAGAATGTAGATAAAAGAAAGGAAGGAAGGAAGGAAGGAAAGAAAGAAGAAAGAGAGCGAGCGAGCGAGGGATTGGTGGGTGGGGGAGTGGATCAGGTTCCCTGGATACCTGCAAAGTCCCTGATACTTCCTTGAATCTCTCAACTAATCAACGCGGCTTGAGCATTGTTTGCCACTAAGGACAGAAATCCTTCTAAAATTACTTCTCCCCTCATCTCGTCTGACCTACCACACTGTCTCTTAGAGTCACTGCCCAAATGAAGAGGTTGGGACACTGGGCAACATGCTTAGCCCCTCATTCCATCAGGCCCATTCCCGGGGGGCCCTATGGTCTCATCCTCAGGGCTCTCCACTGCGCCCACGCGCGCTGGCACAGAGGTTTTCTGATTCAAGGGCCCCGTGAT